CCGGGGGAATGGGCTCGGTTTTCCGATTTTTTTAGCCTGTGCCGCGTGTAGCCGCGTGGCACGGGGTTCACACTAGCCGGCTTTTAAAAATGGCGGCGCCGGCTTTATGCTAATGAAGCCCAGGAAATTCAAATCCCGGGCTTCATTAGCAAGTTCGGTATGCATACATTACCCCGCTAGTTCGAACTAGCGGGGTAGTGTATACATACCCATGGGTAGGAGGGAACTACTACGCAAAGAAGGGGGACATGATCAAATAAGCTTTATTGAGAATCACTGGTTTAGAGAGACCAGATAAAGTCAGACCCTCTCAAACTGGGTTTATTGGAACAAAGCAGGTTATTTCAAACCACTTTTAAGAAAATGAACCACCACGAAGCCTTTCAATGTTTGGAAAGATTTTTCAGAAGCTCTCTCATAGGATTTTTGGCAAAGATGAAGAACCAGCATTATGTTGGAGCAGTGAACAAAGCTAGAGGTTGGTTACCCAACCCTACTGCTCTGCTGTTCTTACTCTATGGATTTTATATTAATGATCTCTATTCTAAAGTCAGTGGGTTCACCTCCCACTTTGATATATGGTTGGCATCTAGTCAGCCTTGTGGTTTCTTGATGAATGAATATTTCTCTTCCAACTAAGAGTGGATAACCCAAAGGTCTGCAGCATCATGTGTTGCAGCTATGCAAATATGAAAGAATTTTGAAACCGCAAAAGTTGTTTCGAACTAGGCTGACTTGCTTCTATCTAATTCAGAATAAGGAAGCAAAGGAAGTAAGGCTCAAAGTAGGACAGTATGTGTAATCTAGTATCACTTTTATCTAAAAGCAATGATTTATGCTCAGGCTTGGAAACAAGAAGCTACAGTCTTCAAATATTCCCTTTGATGTTTCTACCAGCTACAATCAGATATGGCATCCAGGGTGAATTTATAACATTCTCCCCTCACCCTCAGGAACTGCCATATTCTCAGTGGATTTTTTTGCTAATGTAACACAGGGGAGGGTTTCTCCTTCCTTGCATAACAATTTTTGTTAGTGGTTTTCTCACACTTTATTTGATAAAGGATCGTTAGCGCAGGAAAGCTGAGAAGAAACCGACAGGCTCAAAACAGTTAGGTTATACCTGTTCTGAGATTTCTTCTCTGTGCAATTTGAAAATACTCCTCTGTCCTCATTGATGAAGCTTTTAATTAATTAGTGATTGGCATAAATTTAATTATAAAGGGGTCATGAGTGCTCTCTTCTTAAATGGGAATTTTGCTTTTTTTTATTGATCGAATTTCTTGAGTCGTTTTCTGGATATAGGACATTAGAAGAACATAAGAAACCACCTGTGGCACCTTAGGGCATGTCTAGACTACATGGCTCCGTCGACAAAGCCATGTAGATGAGTTTACTAGACATAGGAAAATGAAGCAGCGATTTAAATAATAGCTGCTTGGCGGCTGCACGGGGCCGATCAGCTGTTTGGAGGCACACCGGGGCAGTCTGGACGCTCCACTGTTGACAAGGGAAGCCTTGTCACGAGTCATAACGGAGCAGTCAACAAGGACTTCCCTTGTCGACCACGGAGCGTCCAGTCTACCCCACTGTGCCGCCAAACAGTTGATCGGCACAGCGCGGCAGCCATTTTGATGTAAATGAAGCGGCGATTATTTAAATTGCTGCTTTATTTTCCTATGTCTAGTAAACTCATCTACATGGCTTCGTTGACGGAGCCATGTAGTCTAGACATACCCTTAGAGACTAACAAAAATATACACAGTACCATGAACTTTCATGAGCAAAACCCACTTCTTCAGATGAGCTTGAGAAGAAGTAGGACAGCATCTGTAAGCTCCTGATAATGTATATATTTGTGTTAGTCTCTAAAATGCCACAAGACAACTCGTTGTTTTTAAAGCTACAGGCTGACCCTGCTACTCCTCTGAGACTATGGCTACGTCTAGACTCCATGCCTCTGTCGCCGCTTCATTTAAATTTACATGGCTGCCGTGTTGAGCCGATCAGCTGTTGGGGGTAGTCTGGACGCACGGGGGTCGACATCAAAGGCATTTGTCAACCTCCCAGGTATGCCTCATCCCAGGAGGCATACCTGGGAGGTCGACAAATACTTTTGATGTCAAACGTGGATCGTCCAGACTACCACGCTGAGCCGACAAACAGCTGATCGGCTCAGCGCGGCAGCCCTGTAAGTTTAAATGAAGCGGCGATTATTTAAATCGCCGCTTCATTTTCCTATGCCTGGTAGCCTCATTTACATGCCTCTGGCGACAGAGGCATGGAGTCTAGACGTAGCCTATGAGAAGAACATGTAATGTGGTGACTTTTGGTATTGAGTAGGGTTATAGTTCAAGGGTATGGAATCGACTTCTTAGATACCACAGCCCAGCTGCTAACTCCCACGTTAGTTTTAGAGGGGTAGCCGAGTTAGTCTGTAACAGGAAAAACGTAAAAAACAACGAATTGTCTAGTAGCACCTTAAAGACTAACAAAACAGGTAGGTGGTATCATGAGCTTTCCTGGGTAAAACCCACGTCAGAAGACTGGAGGAGCAGGCAGAACAGGGCAGCTCCGGGGATGGCTAGGCCACTTGGGGAAGCGGGGCAACCTGGAGCCGGGCTGGGGTGCAGCCGTCGTGGGAAGGATGAGGGGCTCGCTCAGGGGTGCGGAGCTGCCTTCCAGCCTCTCCCCGGCCTTCGCCAGGGCGTCCTGTCCCCGCCTCCTCCCACCTGCTGCTCTCCGCCTTGTTGCGCAGCCCCAGCTCTGCAGCCTGGGCGCTCCCCGCTCCTTACCCCTCCCTTTCTGCCTCGTGGTGCCCCCGGCAGGCGGGCTAAAGACGGCGCTGAAGTCGCGCCCAGCCGCCAGCACCGCCACCGCCGGTCCCCGCTAGAGGTGGGCTCTGGCTCTGGGACTGGGCGGTGGAGGGGGCAGCTGAAAATGCATGGTGGGGGTCCTCCTTCCCCACAGCTCCTGGGCAACTGGGTCCCTGGCAGGAAGGAGCAGGCACCATAGACCAGACCCTCACGGGATCCTGCCTCCAGCAGGGCTGGACACCCCAGGGTCACCCCTCCCCTTTCCCCTTTGCCCATTTCCCTGAACACCCTCCTTCCCCCCGCTCCCGAGCCACCCTGACCCCAGACCATGCTGGTGATCCAGCATCTAACCCCCCGCAAGATTGGGGCCAGCGTCTGCTTCCGGTGCGTGGGGGGGGGGGTCCCAAGGCACCACGCCACATCCAGCTCCCAGGGAGGTGCATGCGCACTGCTCCTCCCCTCCCCACAGGAAAAGCCAGAGCGGAGCCAGGACAGGAGACCGAGCGAGGTGTGTGGTGGAGAGAGCCCCTTCCCCCCCTTCCCATCTCCCCCGGGAGAGCAGCGTGGCCCCGGGCAGGGGGGTTAAATCTTGGCATGCCACTTGGGAAAGGTTGCCGTCCCCTGCAATAAAGGAAACCTCAGGTGCGGGGGTGCAACGTGGAGGCGCAGAATGTGAGCTGGGTCCAGGCCTGCTCCGTGCTGGCCTGCGGGGGAAGTGTTCACGTAACCCCAGCAGACGCCGCCGACTAAAGGAAGCTTTTCTAAGAGTAGTAAATGTTGACGCGTGTAGCTAACCTGCCAGGCGCACATGTGCAATGCGTCAAAAAGCCTGGCCTGGAAAATGTCAAGGCGATGGATGAGAGCTGATGAGCAACTAGGAGTTTAAAATGAGAAATGCCCTGGCAGCTCTTGCTGTGGGCAGTGCTAGTGCTGGAACGGGAGGATATCTGATGGTAATATTAATTTTGAATGAGTTGAAGCATCCTGTTAAATATTTCAGTGATAAATGCTGCCGAAATTGAGGGCAAGAGCATTATTGCCGGGGGTAATGTTTCTCTTTTCGGTTGTTCTTTCAAACAGATAGCTGTCCCCCGGCAGCAATCCTGTTTTCATTGCCTTTCAAATTCATGTACGGTCGGCTATAAAAGAGGAGCTCTGTAAAATTCGGTGCCTGGAGATCGCTTCGTCCGTGATTGTCCTGGCTCAGTCATAGCAAGCGCAGCATCGTTACGACACACTTAAGTGCACATAAAAACTTTATTAACTAGCGTTTCTTTCAGGTTAGTGAAAGGCACGGCTTATCACTGGGACCTCCTCCTGGTAGCTCTGATTAACACAGGGCTGTCTGTCTTCGGGTTGCCATGGATACACGCTGCGTTCCCTCACTCCCCAATGCACGTCCGAGCGCTGGCCTACGTGGAAGAGAGGGTTGAAAATGGGCACATCTATGAGACGTAAGTTTTGGGGAACCCTAGGAACAAATCCACAGGAGGACGGGGGTTTGTGGGGGAGTCTGAGGGGTTTTCCAGGGTTCCTTTAACACCTATAAATGATTGTTCTGAACGACGTGAATTAATCGTTCCTGTCTGTCTCCACCAACTCTGGCTGCAGGTGCTAGAAATGGTCTGCCCACTTCCCGGCAGAGATAGCTAGAATGAAGGAAGATTGTTTCAAGGGGTCATTTATCAGTCCCAGAACCAACTGTCCAAGCTTGTTTCACTGGGATCACCACCACTACTCTGCATCTGTGGAGTAGCTGGCAGCTGTCCTGCCGGCACAGAGCACTTTCTGTGGGGGCCAGCCTCAAGCTATGCTGCTGGGGGGCCAGATCTTGCACATCTCAGTGCTTTGTTCCCTTCTCTTTAAGGTTCGTAATCCATGAGAGGGAAAAAAACCAACCTTCTGGTTGAACTAGGGATGTTACCTGCTGGTTAATAGACTAATCGAGTAGTCGATGGAATTTCCATCGAGTAGTCGATAAGGGGGGGTTCTTACTACATTTAAAGTGCAGAGCCACAACGGGGTTAGCTCCCTGGGTCTACTGCAGCTCTACCTCCCCTGACCACACCCCACAGTACACCGTGCCGGCTCCCTCCAGCACCAGCTCCTGCTCCCCTGTCTCTTGCTGCCTCTGAAACTGTCGAGTAGTCACTCAACTACCCGCTAAGCCTAGGCTTACAGGGTAGTTGACTAGTCCTTTACATCCCTCGGTCAGACCATCTCTCCTCCCAGATGCTAGCATTTCTACGCTCTCTGCTGAAGCCTTGCTGAGCAGTGAGACATTAGTTTGGCCAGACGCTGCCTGGTTGTCTCATTAGAAAAATATCCAGTGCCACTCCCCCGCGTCTGAAATCTGCGAGGTCAGTAGTGGAAAGGGCCGGCCGCAGTCTCCCTGTGGCTGTTCCAAAGCTCACGGCAGCATCTTCCATTGTATCCCGTGGAGCTCAGAGACTCTTCTGTTCCCACCCCCTCTGGGGCCACCCCTCTGCCATTAGTACAACCCTGCGTGGGTACAGCCCTGCAGTGGCAAAAGGAGCCGAGCGTGGAGCTGCTGTTCCCAGGAGCCAGCGCCCTGCACTGGTAGTTCCTCTGGCGTGGCTGTACCACTCCCAGCCCTTCCAGGCAGCTTTGTGCATCTCCAGCCAGGGGCGTGCCAGGGAGCCTGGTCGTACTGGAGGACCTGCAGGGCGCAAGCTTCTGGGAGGGTCTTCCCTTTCCGCCGCTGCAGTTCCCTGGCGAGCCCTGGAGTTCTGCAGACGCCGATGTGTAGCCGCAGAGATCCATACCCACGAGCAGAAATTGTATCCACACCAGTGTCGAGCCAGTGGGGGTTCTTGGGAAAACACGGGCAGTGCAGAAGCAGGGAGGGGTGGACAATCATACGCTGCACTAGGAATCTTGTCCTTTCTCCTCATCCTGCCCAGAGGGGGGTTAGATACATAAATTACAACTTGGA